AGCCAAATGAAAGACAAGGACAAGGTAATGGCATAAAAGTTGCACAGGCTAAGGGGCAAGATAAAGAAGGAAAAACTTTTTTTTTTTTTTTTTGAAACTGAGTCTCACTCTGTCGCTTAGGCTGGGGTGCAGTGGTGTAATCTCAGCTCACTGCACCCTCTGCCTCCCAGGTTCAAGCGATTCTCCTTACCTCAGCCTCCAGAGTAGCTGCGATTACAGGCACCCACCACACACCTGGATACTTTTTGCATTTTTAGTACAGACGGGATTTCTCCATGTTGGCCAGGTGGTCTCAAACTCCTGACCGCCCACCTCGGCTTCCCAAAGTGCTGGGATTATAGGCATGAGCCACCGTGCCCGGCTGGAAGAACGTTTTTTGATGCACTACGTTTGCAGACGAGGTTATTTGAAATGAACTGGGCTAAAACCCTTAGAAGGAGATATGTGGACGATAGAGTCTCAGGACAGCTCGGATGCAGTGAGTAAATGCCAGTCCCAAGCACATGCAAGCCAGCATGGCACAAACCCTGCAATTAGCTTGCAAAATAGTCTTTGAAAAGGTCTATTTCTGAAGAATAAAATGTGTAAAAATTCGGTTTATTTTAATCTATGGTTATAACACTGGGGAAAAGGACAAGTTTTAAATTGTTTATCATTTCAACGTAAAACTGCACCTGGTAATCAAACTCAATACTAATAAAAATAAAAATAACAGGGTATTTTTATTTGGAAAGCTTTTATGGGTAAGGAAAGTCAATGGACTTTCTCTTCTCAGTAGTATGCCGTCCCCCACACTGTCTGCAAGGGTGAAGTGTACAAAGACTGTGGGTCATCTTTAATAAGTATGAACCCATACGGGGTACATGTTATGTCTGAGGATATAAAAGTATAATTCCTCGATCTTTACTTGGTTTTAGATAGGTTGAAAAGGGTTAAGCACATATTTCCCAACACTGTTACTCTATGGGTCTATTCTCAGTACCCAAAATAGAGCCTGTTTGTGGAATAGATGCCCAGTGAAAGTGTGTTGAGAGTAAGTGAATGAATCTGCAGCTCTGAGCCTTGGAGCCACTCTATTACCGGTAGTTGGTAACTGCCCTCCAGATCAGGGATGCAATCTTTGTTTTAGTTCCCTAAAATCAAAGAGAAGTTAAGTCTTCTTCCATCTGGGCTCAGGTATACTGCATAGGGCCATAGAATTATTTTTTTTCAAAATAGAAAATTGCTTTAATTTTTATTTGGCTTTAAATAAAGTAACATATGATCGTTGTAAAGAAATATCTACAATACCAAAAGCAAAAAAAAAAAAAATTAAAATGACCACCAATACCCCAGAGAAAATGGCTAGTCTTATTTTAGAGGAGGAAGCCAAGGTCTGGAGCTAAAGGAAGAGGGACTTGCTCAGGGTCTCACGTGCCCTTTGTCTTCAGATCAAAACCATGATTTTAGATGGCCTTGATTTCTGCTTCTGGCCACCTATTTCCTGCACACACCCTGCACTTTCCCACCAGAGCTGACTGAACCATAAAGCCTGACTTTCACTATTCCCATAAATGATCAGATTTTACAAAATTCTGAAGGGTGGACATGGACTTACCAAATCTCAGAATAGCAGAACTAGAAGGTTCACCTTGAAACATGGAAAGGTAAACTTAGTACGAGTATAAGGAAATACATAAGTACTACTCTTCCTTAAGAAGAAAGAAAGAGCGAGAGAGAGAGAGAAAAGGAAGGAAGGAAGGGAAGGAAGGAAAGAAGGAAGGAAGGAAGGAGAAGGAGGGAGGAAGGATGGAAGAAGGAAAGAAGGAGGGAAGAAGGAAAGAAGGAAGGAAGGAGAAGGAGGGAGGAAGGATAAGAAGGAAGGAAGGAAGGAGAAGGAGGGAGGAAGGATGGAAGAAGGAAAGAAGGAGGGAAGAAGGAAAGAAGGAAGGAAGGAGAAGGAGGGAGGAAGGATGGAAGAAGGAAAGAAGGAGGGAAGAAGGAAAGAAGGAAGGAAGAAAGAAGGAAAGAAGGAAAGAAGGAAGGAAGGCAATGAATGGAAGCAAGAAAGAAAAGGAAGAAAAGAAGAAATAAAAACAGAAAAGAAAACAATATATTATCCCAAAAGAAGTAATACAGACAGAAATGTAAGTTAAACAAGGTTAGGATTAATTTGTGTACGTTTATTTTAGGTTATTCAGGGTACATAAGATTTACTGTGTACATTCCTTTTACGTCTGAATGTAAAAGAATGAAGAAGACAAATTTAAAAAGAAGACAAATTAAAAGAAGACAAATTCTTCCACACAAAACAAAAAAAGTCGAAGGAACAAGCCATGTAGCTGTGTGGTCAATTCTTAAGCAAAGTCCTGAATCTGAAGAAATTGGGTTTATTCACTCTAATGACAGTATGGCTCTAACCACAGCAATTTAGTTCTGTCACACCTCTGTCAATGATTCCCTGACCCCCTGTTCACATGGAAAGGAAAGAAGCTGACAATGGCAATCTAGCCTGATGCCCAATGTCTACATCCCCAGTCCTGAGCCTCTCTAGCCACAACTCTATCAGGCCTGCCCCTACCCCCTGACCTGTCTGCTTTCTGATTCTGTTACACTTTGGTTTACTAGCATGCTGTGAGGTACATAAAGGCAGGAACCATGTCTACTTCTTTACCACCATTATTTTTCCCATCCTTAGCACACTTAAACCTGGTTAGTGCTTAATAAATAGTTGTTGGATGAAGATATTTTGTAGACTATCATGAGAACTTGAGGTGAAATAACACAGCATTGGAAGGAATAAGAGGTGTGGTTCACTGAGCCCAGCCACCGCCCACAAGACTTCCATGTCCACCATGTCCACTCAGCACTGAGCCTCATACTCTCCCTGGTTCTCCCCCATCTCCCTGGTACATTGTCTTCTTTGATGGTTTCCATTATACCTTGATGATCGCTCACTTTTTCTATGCTTGCTTTTTTGGGAATATCCCTTCAGCTTTTGTACTGGCACCACCATACTGTGTCTGCCCAAATTTATTTCTCTAATAATGATTTCTCTCCCTTTTTGAACAAAGAGTGAAATTTCCTATCTCCACATGCCTGCAGGAAATCTCTTTTTGGATGTGGTTTCTACCTGAAATTAAACACTGCTCCTCTGACCATTCAAGAAGGAAATCCTCCATTTGGGACAAAGCAGAGACTTTCCTTCCAGCTTCTCAGATGTATATTCTTTGGAATCATCTGTAAGTTCTTCGCTCTCTTAAAAGGTTTGCTAATTCTCCCTCTGTAAAGACTCTCATATTTGATCTTTCTTCATTTCCACACCCACTGACCTGATTCAGGCCTCATTATCCTACATTCCATACTATCTCTTCCAGTACTGGTATCCCCATATTCTAGTCCACTGTAGATAAGTTTCTCTAGCATAGTGTCATCCCATATAACTCCCTTGTTAAGTCTCTGTCTATTCCTTGTATAGCAAATAGGAACAGCCAAGATATACAAGTCCAGTCCATTTTCCCTCAAACACTCAACAGGTTTCTTGCACCAGGATTCTTATTTCTACTTCTGCACTTTTGCCGGTGTCATTCCTTCACCTAGACAGGTTCCCTTTCCCTTTTCATCACCATCATTACCTCCTCCATGGCTCACCTCCACCAAGAAACTTTCTCTGACTAGTTCCATTGCAGGATGATGACTACCTTTCCTTTTCTTGGCATGATGGTTTAGCTCTGGCTATGCTGCTATGTTGTTTCTTACTTGTTTGGCTAGTGGTAATGGTTAATAATAATAGTAGCTATCATTTATGAAAAACTATCATTTACAAAAAACTACTATGTGTTAGGTACCTGACTAGGCTATTCATGAAGCTCAGTAATCTTCCCAACAATCACACAGGCTATGTAGATATTATGCCTATTTTATATATATGGCAACTATGGCTTAAAGAGAAAAATCATTTGCTCAGGGCCACACAGCTTGTAAATGGCAGAGCTAGGATTTGAACCAACAGAATGCAGGTATCATCCATAGTGCCTTGTGGACATGTTTAGTCATTTCATGAATGGCAGCTGACTCTGGCCAAGTTTATCATAGGCAGTTATTTTATCTTCTGCTTTTGCATTCTCCATACAAATAAGTAGAACATAAGAACAATACTTTTCATTATAGGTGTAAGTTTCCACTTTTCTACTTTGGGATCGTTAAAGAGTCATCTTTCATCTGTGCATTGGAGTTACTGGGAACAAAATCGATTTGATTTTAAGGTCATCGTTTAACATTTTTCTCTCTGTGAATGCCTCACCTGCTTTCTCAAAAGAACATCTGATTTAAGTCACATCAAATACCACACTGTCCTTTGTTCTGAGGCCTAAAATGTTAAAATATGCATTTATGCCCCAGGTTTTATATGCCAAAGCTTTATCTCCCCAGTTTGACCTCGTAGTCACCACTCTAGAGGCCTCACATGACATGAACAGCTTCCAATTACACCCAGAATCTCCTCGGTAACATAGCCCACTGTTAACCTGTACTATGTAGATCCGAAGAGTTCAATACTTTTCTAATAAGAATGAAAATTTTTCACAAGATTCATCCAGGGCTTTTTGCGTTTTTTGTTTTTTTTTTTTTAGATTGAAGACTCTCATTTCCTAAATGGTTCCAATATTCAATACTTGGCATTTTCCTGTCATTTCTTATTATATAAGCCTTTTAAATCTTCACTCACACATTACTTTTGTCATTTAAGACATTCCAATGTGAAAGGTATTGATTAAATGGAATTATCAATATGCAATTATCAATTGATTCCTCTCAAATTTCTCTTTTTCTTGATCCTTGTTTGTTTTCCTTTTTTAAATGCTAAATTTAGAGTCTTAGCAGAAAAATTTTCCATAACTACTTTTGCAAACAGTTTGGTGTGCAGTATGACCACATTTGGCCTCTCAGAAGGATGGTCTTTGAGGCCTGAAACCAACGTTGTTAATAAGGGAATACAACTATTTTTCACCCTAGATCCTTACCTTTCTGCTTCGAGTCGCATCTCCTCCCTCTTTTGCCTTCTAAGTTCTCTGCGACGTTCAAAATCATCCATGGTGTGATTTCAGGTTCAGGGAGACCAGATGACGTCTGGACCTGAAGGAGAGGAGGTAGAGTCAATATCATAGATAAATAACTCAGTGTGTTACCTCTCTTTCAGTCACTGTGGACCCTCTCCCATTTGCCAGTCTCCTGATTTTTCTTTACTCTTAGAAAGCTGATAAGGTAGCCAGTGATCAATTTCTGACTCCTGAGCCAAGTTAAATTCAGTCTCATTCATGAATCTCTTAGAGACAAGTGAGTAAGATCCCAAGATTATATATTCTTTTAAGAAGACCTCAGGAGACAGAGAGGTTTTGAAGACTTGAAATATTGGTAGAATCACTTGAAATTCTACTGAATGATTTTGTTCTTTGTAACTTGCTGAACCCCAGACCAAAGTTATGAAAAAGTGAACAAAGAAGGAGGAAAACAGGAATGATAAACAGAAAAGAAAAGTGGCAAGAAGAGGAATATGTAGGAACTAGGAGAAAAGTGAAAGCGAGAAATAAAATAATACAGTATCTAGGCATATAATGTGCATATTCTCAAAGAAGCATCAGGATTTTAATAAAGACTGCAGCAGTAACATCATGAATAAACATCATGAAGCAACATTTTTAAAAGCAGTTAAGTGGTGATCAAGCTGTTTTCCAAGTTCTAAAATCTCTGCTCTTTCTACGGATGTAACCCAACCATTTTACCCTTTCCTACCTCCTCTGTGATGGTTTTAATTCCGGAAAGACCTTCCCCTTCCAACTCTTTAAATGAGGAGCCCGTTTCCCCTGCGTTTTTGTGCCATGGAGTCAAGTATTCCAGAATTCCCCTGCAGCCCCCAAACCCAAAATGACTACCAGAAAGGGGGAAGCGGGCTCTTTTTGTCCTTGCTTTGTTTACAGAGCTGTCAGTGGTTAGTTAAACTCGGCCTGGAATCTGGCATTTAAGGCCTGCTTGAAGATTGTTTCCTGTGCGGAACGGGAGGCCTCCACTTCCTCTGGAATCCTAGACTCTCTGCTGCACTCGAATCACAAAAATATTTTCCAGCCCTTTCTGTGCACATGAGACAAGCCATTTGCCCTGTGTGAGAAAATAAGGAGCTGTACAAAACCTAAAGCCATCACACCTGAAGGCATCTTTGTTTGAAGGAGCAAAAAACAAAACTTCGATTTTGAAGCCAAGTTCAGAAACCTTCTTAAATAAATTGTCCAATTCTTTTATTTTCAAATGTTTTTTCCCCTCTTAAAAAATCCCACAAAAACAAAAATAAAAGCTCAGCCAACAAAAGCAAAACTATACAATGTTTGAATTTTTCCCCTTTTTATCATCTAAGGTGTTATTAATGTTGCTTATAAATCTTTAGAAATTCAAATCTTGGTGTTTATTTGGAGTTTTAAATTTTTGGTGTTTATCTATCTTACTCTTACCAAGAGTACTTCCTGAGGCTTTGCTAGCTGTGAAAGAAACAACTCATTTTCTTTCTTATTATTTCATCAACCATGAAGAAATTTTTCTACACTTTCCAATCTAGTCTACAATTATCAGAATGGAAAAAGAAAAAGTGATTTGAGAGTTCCCTAAGAGGCCATCCGAGGGCCCTTCTCCCTGGGATAGGCTCCTGTTCTGACCACAGGGCAGGAGTGTGTGACGACAGCCCTGTGGGCAGTAGGATCTAAACTCATGGACTCGAATGCCAGGTATAGTGGGAGAGCAGACTCTTCTCTTCCTTCAGTGTGGTCTTTTGTTGCATATAAAGTGCCCCTTGAATAACTTTAGCAATAGCAAACAGACATGGGAAAAAGAGATCCATCTATAAGCAAACAATTTTACCTTTTAAAATTTATCCAAGTAGCTTGAAGAGCATCCTCTAAGCCTCTGTCTGGTTTTTGCTCCTACCTCATCAAATTTAAGCTGTCATTCTGGCTGTTTGTCAGCAACAGTGGTTCTCAGCCTATACCTCTGGTGGAGGTGCTAATGAGCAGTGAAATGAGTATCTCCAAGCAGGCTGGAGACGTACATGGACTGCAGAGCCCAGCAGTGTCTTGGAGTACTTAGAGGGAAGTGAAACTAACATCGTGAGGTCACTTCCGCTGGCCATCCTCACTGGCTCTCAACCCACGCAAATTCTTTTTCTACTACCCATTCTCTTCTCCCACTTCTCACCTTCTCTTGCTTACTTGGGCACTTTTTCTTTCCCAGCCATAGAAAAACTACCTGTCGTTTGAGTGCTGCTGAGTATATATGTGGAGGCACCCAGAGGGAGAGAGAGTGTGTGTGCCATTTCCTACACACCAGTGCTTTTCTAGGTGAGGCTTTGTGCACATGAGTGGGTGTAGCTTAGAGGAAAGCACAAAACCACATCTGTGTACCATGTGGTATGACTGTTGGTGGTGTGTGTGTGTGTCTTGTATGTGGGGGAGAGAAGGTGTATGTGTGTATGAAAATTGTTCTCAGTATCAACCCAGGATGGGGCTGGAGATCCTCCTTCATCCCTGCACCCTTACATCACAGAGCTTTTCGGCCCTTCTCCAGCATCTTCCCTTTGTAAGAGGAGCCATGTCTAGGTAGAATGGTAAGTGATTTTTTTTTTCTCTTCTATGTCCCCAGGCAGTAATCCCTCATTTCCTGCCCTACCCCTACTCAGTGCTGAATTCTTTTCAGCAACATTGGTTAGGAAACAAACTCTCAACCAATGAAGGGATGAAAAGTCAAGACAGGGAGATTCCATCAGTCGTGAGGCTCTGGGTGTCACAAATAGTGTGAAAGAGCTAAGTATTGATGTTTGTGACAGATGGGTTCTTGGAGAGTTTTATGAAAATCTAAATTTTTGTGCTCAAGGGGGGATTGTGGTCATGCTATAGAAAGATTTACTGAGGTGGCTTCTTTCGTAAAGAGGGGAAAAACAAAAACCTTAACAGAGGCAGATAAGTCATGACCTATGGACATGTCTGTGTTTTCAGTATGGGTTCTCATAGATTGGATTTTCTTTTAACACAAGGTCTGCCTACACTGCCATGATTAAGAAATAAGTCAGTGTTAAAGTTTTAGGCCAGATGCAGTGGTTCACGCCAGCAATCCCAACACTTTGGGAGGCCGAGGTGGGTGGATCACTTGATGTCAGGAGTTCGAGACCAGCCTGGCCAACATGGTAAAACCCCATCTTTACTAAAAACACAACAAATTAGCTGGGCGTGGTGGCAGATTACTGTAATCCTAGCTACTTGGGAGACTGAGGCAGGAGAATCACTTGAACCCGTGAGGTGGAGTTTGCAGTGAGCTGAGATTGGGCCACTTCACTCCAGCCTGAGCAACAGAGCGAGACTCCATCTCAAAAAAAAAAAAGGAAAGAGAAAAGATTTCAATCATCGAACACATTGCCCTTCCTTTTTTTTTTCTTTTTTTGAAATGGAGTTTCACTCTTGTCACCCAAGCTGGAGTACAATGACGCGATCTCGGCTCACTGCAACCTCTGCCTCCCACGTTCGAGAAATTCTCCTGCCTCAGCCTCCCGAGCCCCTGGGATTACAGGTGTACACCACCACGCCCGGCTAATTTTGTTATTTTTAGTAGAGACGGGGTTTCACCACGTTGGCCAGGCTGGTCTCGAACTCTGACCTCAGGTGATCCTCCTACCTCGGCCTCCCAAAGTGCTGGGATTATAGGCATGAGCCACCGCGCCTGGCCTGCCCTTCTTTTTGAACAAAGCCACAAGCCTGCAGCCCAGGGGATTGGCATGATGTGACAAGAGGTGTGTCCTGCATCTTACCATCACGCCAGGGCTTCCGGGACTTTCCTCTCTTTCCTTTCTTTCCTCCTTGCTTTTTTTTCTCTGCCTCTTTTCAAAGGCGGAATATTGATTGGTATTTCTTCTGAGATTAAAAAATTTTTCTCTTTCTTTGTCACTTTTTTTTCTTCTCTATATCCCACCCTATGTTGGAAATTAAAGTATATTTATATTTATTAAAACTAATTTATGGCTCTTTTCCTTTAAAAATTTAGTTCGATAGCTAATGTGCATCTTTCAACCAAGAAATTTATTATGTTTTATATTCACAAAGTTTTTGCTGTTTTCTTTTTCCCTCTATGGGCACGTGGCCCTCAGTATAGATATTTCCTGTGACGCCTTTACAAGGAGAACTAGTAAGTTTCTGCTTTTGCTTGGGTCAGGGTTGGTGGCAGATAAGCCATTTTAGGTGTGTGTTGGTGTACTCACCTGTGCACGCGCACATGTGTAAATTCAGTCAAGGCAGGAGATGTTTGTGAGCAGGTGGCTTTCTAACCCAGCACTCAATACTTAGGGACAAAGCCATACGGAAGAAGCTAAGTCTTATCTACTTTTTGGGCAGTGCCAATATTGGTTTGGAATGCAAGAATAATAAAATCTGTTGTATCCGGGACACTGAATAAGTTACATCCAAAAGGAGCTAACATTTATTGAATATGTACTGTGTGGCAGGCCATTTTTTAAGCCTTTAACGTTTTAATGAATAGACTTTATTGCTTAGAGCAGAAAAAAAGCGAGTAGAGAGTACAGAGTTCCCATATATTCCCCCCTCCCCAACTCCTGCCCACATTTTCTCCTGCATTTGGAGATAGAGTCTTTGCAGATGTAGTCAAGATGAGGTGATTAGGGTGGTCCCTTATCCAATATAATGGTGTCCTTATGAAAAGGGGAAATTTGGCACAGAGACAACACACACAGAGGGGAGATAATGTGAAGGCATGGTGAGATGCCATGAGAAAATGGAGACAAGGAAGACCTAAGGTTTTCACCAGAAAGCTGGGAAAGAGAAATGGGGCAAACCCTTCCCCAGCGCATTCAGAGGGAGCCTGGCCATGCTGACACCTCCATTTCAAACTTCAGCTCTCCATAACAGTGGGACAAGAAATTACTGTTATTCTAAACCAACTAGTGTGTGGTACTTTGTTATGGCAGCCCTAGGAAACTATTAGGAACATCTTGCAGTAGTGTGGTACATTTGTTCCAATTGACAAACCAATATTCATGCATTATTATTAACTAAAGTTCATAGTTTACATTAAGGTTCACTCTTTGTTGT